CGGGAAGGCCTTTTTCATACAGCTTGAATCCCATAGAAGGAATCACCTTGCCTTTTTGTCCCCTGGCCTTTGCCTTACTGTTTATGGGTTTTAATATACAACAATTGGGGTGAAATAATCATCTACACATCACGATGCCTCCATGCTGACAGTCGTTGATTACTTTCTGCCAAACCCACTTTAGGACTTTGGAATCGTGTTTGTGTTTCTTACTATTAACTTAATGAGTTCTCCATTTGATTTTTTCAACAATATTTTTTACCCATAAATGTTTACAATTATATGGTATTAGGCGAGTGAATATATGTTAGTTTACACCCATCCCACCAGATGAAAAAAAGTTGATAAAAACAACAGTTTTTTCTGCAATGTGATGTGCTGGTTTTGGGGGAAAAGTGCATGTTTCAAGCCAATATAGGCATGGCAAGAGAGCTTTTCTATCAATTCCATTTGCTAAAATTTCAAAAGGAAATACCAAAAATTCATGATGAAACCAAGCATTGGTGAATGAGTTGAAGATGTTGGGTGTTAATTGGGTGGCCTTTTCGAAGTACAAGACTGTGAATTTGGACATTTGGCTGTTGTGCGAGTGGTCAGCAGATGAAAGATGGGACACTAAAATTTAAATAGGATCTCATATCCTAGTCATATTAGGTTTTAGTTGAATAAAAATGAAATGTGGGAGAGATCCCAAGTTTCTACTTCTTTCTCTTGTAAAATTGCGAATCTTGTTACAAACACAGAATCCAAGGCTGCATTGAAAATAAGCTATGAATCAAAAAAATACATCAGCATTGCGTGATGATGCACTGGGGATTTGGTCTCCTAGAGCGTAGTTTCTAAATTATTCACTGTTGTATGAGAAAAAAAAAATCAAAGAAATACATTGGCATTGATTTTTATTTTCTTCTTCATAAGAAAAATACAGAGAAAACTATATATTAAAGCCTTAAAGCAATTTAATGGTTATTTTGAGAGTTTAGATTTGACTTGCAAATAAAAAATAAAAAATAAAAAAATATAAGAGAATTATAACAACGGAATAAAAAAAAAAAAGACTAATCAAAGATGATGTAAGTGATTATGAATCCTATCTTAATTAAAAGAAAACCTCTTATCATAAAAGTAGTAGCACTAACTCAAGGAATGATTAAGCTTGAAATGAAGGGTACTGATATAAAAGATGAAAAAATGGGATGAATTCATGAGACCTATGACATAGAAAGAATGTGAAAGAATATGAATTTCATTTTATTAATATATTGCTGATGTGGTAAGTTAGTTCAGATCATCTCGTAAAATCATCTATTTTTTTCAACTTTTTTATCATTATTTTGAAATGAATCGTTGGTACAATATGAATTAACTTGGTAGGTTTTTTAAGTATTCAGATAATTTTACTATAGTAAAGATTTGCATCTCCACCCTCTTGGGTGTTCCTCTTTCCTCTCTCTCAACTTAAGGCTCTTTCCTCTCTCTCAACTTAAGGCGTTTTCTCTTTTTTGTTATAAGTAATTATAAGAAAAATAAAAATTTGAGATAAAAATTTAAAATTAATAATATGATATAAATTATATAATTAAATTAATTAA